TGGGTAAGAGGAATGATCGATTTAGAACATGTTCTGTATTTCCCTGCAAAAAAAAAACATTTCTGAGGGTTGCTAAGCATTTCCGAGATTTCTGACAGGGACAGCGGTAGTGTTTACCCATTACTCCTCCCAGCGGAGGTCTGATAATGTGCAGATCTGTGTGGGGTTGTCTGCTCATTGTGAAAATGGTATTTGACTCATGGGCTCTGGGAGAGACCTGAAACAAAATCCACTGAAAGAGATCCCAAAAGGGTAAAATCCTGTTTCAGCCCCACTATAGAATACATTTTGACAAGCTAGAGCCCCTGAAAATAACAGCAGGTGCTCTCAACATTTTGCTGTTCACCTTATTGGCTTTCTATTTTGTAGCTTTTGTTAGCTGCAAATTATGATTTATGGCAGATATTTATAGTCCTGTATGTTTTCTTACCAGAAAAACAGCTTTGGTTATACATAAAAGTCTGACATAACTTGCATGGATGGGAAAATAATATTTTATGTCCATATTACATGTTTTACCTTTGAATCACAAGTAATATGAAAAATGTGCTGCAATGCTAACACAGATTCGAGTGTGCAATTAAATGTGTAATTCCACTTTTCTTGGCAAGCTTAATGTACAGTAGTAGATTTTTTACATTTGTAAAGGGAATCTTTTATAGAAAGTCTTATGAAAACACTTAATACCCTCCTTACCCTTGTACTGTGAACTGTATATGAGTTAGTCTGTTTTGCACTCTGCAACAAAAGCATTAGCAAAGTATCATTAGAAAGGAGAAGACAAATACTAGTTCAGCAGGCTTTTTTTATTGATTTAGTATTCATGCAGGTGAGAGAGGAAGACAGGGGAAGACAGAAAGGCTCTTCCCAGTGCTTTATCTTTCTTGGTCAGGCTTCTAAATCTTTGCCACAAGGAAATGATCGTGAGTGGAATTTTCCACTCTGACTTCTGTGTCATTTCTCTTTATCTGCAGTGCCTCTGTTACTTTTACCTGGGAGTTTGCCATTTGTGGCACTGCTGTTTCTTGGCATACTGCAATGTGGCAGAAAATTTAATATTCAGGAAACATTTGCAATCAACATAGTGTCTAGGTACAGTATGTGCTGTAGCTATATTGTATGTTCCCATGCATATTACTTATGTGGGTTAATGCAGCATTGTGAAAGTTTAAGTTTGGAAAGATTGATTTTATTTTTATTTTCACATTCATGTACAGTAGATATTTAAAATATCACTTGGAAACAAAGTCAGAACGCAAAACACATGAACTAACTGAATGATGTGCAATACAACACAACATATTCTAATTTGTATTTACTACTCAGGAAAGAGGACAGCATTTTAGTCCATCAAGTTGCACAGGTTTGTTTTGGCATGAGTTATGTGGGCAAGATGGACTAATGGGCAACAGTTATTTGCAAAAGAGTTAATTATGTGCCTGGAATCATTGTCCATTTTATCAGCACAAACCACATCCATTCGTCACTGTCTAGATGATACATTCATGGTTTTACTTTCCCATGTACAGCACATGCATCAAAATCCTTCAGCATGTCAGATATTTAGTCAGCAGGTTTTGTGCTTACATATTTCTGTGTGGCTCAAGCCAGTTACCCTTCCCATGTTCTTCAGCTGTTATGAAATCAGAATGGTCTGGTTAAATTGGGTCACTGTAATCCCTTGCTGGTAAGGAAGACACAATCTTTCTGAAGTATGTTTAGTATTTACTCTCTAATCTGAGGCATAGATTACAAATATGCAGATTGCTTCTTCCCCCAACAATGTGAGGAAGGACCTAGCCGATCATTAGAGTGAAGTAACATTGCAACCTGAGCAGATAGTATTCTTGTATTTAAAAAAATTATATTAAATTGTCAGACTGTGTCTCATACGAAATGAGATCTTCTGATGTCTCTGACATTCATGCACAGGAGTTAGATACAAAGTCTGTTGCCTTCTGAGACACTAGCTTCACATTGTGTTTCTCTATTGCTCTGTCTTCCGGGTGTGGAGACTCCCACAAGAAACCTTCTAACTCACTGCAATTTAATTCCTTGCTGCAACCAGACATTACTTGAGCATTTGTAAATTAATCAGACAATTAAAGAGTTGGTTGTGCCAAAAACATTGTGTTTGCTGTGATTATTGCCTCATTTGTCTATGCTGTCAACAGTAGCATACTAGACATTTAACTTGGTACGACATTTAACCCCACAATGCAAATTTAAAAACTCAAAAAGAAAAAAAAACATGTTTGATGAAAATTTATTTCAGTACTTAGTATGCATCACAACTAAGTGATTGCACTTAGGATAAACTATTCCTTTCTGTGTTGTTATGCTAATGTGCTCAAAGAAACATGGTCATAACAAAAAGAGATCAGCATGATTCAGGGAGATCAGCTTTTATTTTTACAGCTTATTTGCACCCAGTGAAACATAAAAGAATAAAAAGCATAAATGTTAAAGGGTCAATTGCTAATTACTCTATAAAAACTGTAAGATTACTGTAAAGTAAAAGCAATTATAGTTCCAGCTGTGTTATATTGCAATCCTCTTTGGTATTACTGTATATGTACTGTATGTGCTTACAAATTACATGAATAACATCAAACCGATCTCTTTGGACATAAGGCTAGAGCTCTTTGGTGTGTGTGAAGGTGAATGTAACTATTGCAATTCAGGGTTGGGAGGCAATATTTCTTATGGAGGAGAAAGTAAACTAATTAGTAATTAAATTGTGATTCCGTGAATGGTAAACACAAGGAGACTAGTGTATTGTATAAGAGCTGCTGAAGAACCAAAGGCACAGTAGTGTCAGATTCCAATATTTCTTTTTGTTTTAACCAGGGAATATAGCAGGATCATGGAGATCAGTCTTCATCGTGTTTAAATCAGAAAATAATATTCATTTGTTAAATATGGCATTTCATCACTGCTAACTCTCCTGGATAGTATGTGTACATGTGGCCTATGAATATACCCAACTCCTTCCCTACAGGGATTCAAACCTGCTGCCCCCTTCTCCCACCCCAACTCCACAGTGACACAGTGCCTCTTCAGACGACGTAAGCTGGTTTTCAACAGCACAGAATTCAAACTTCAACGTTGTCCTACACTCAATTTATTGAAGAAGTTCAAGTAGGGAGCTGTGTGCGCATGCATAGGTTGCAAAGGAAAAAGGTAAAGGTTTATTCCCTGCTAAAAGAAAAAGAATCACTGATTGCATGTGTGTGTGTACAAAGACCTGCTGTGGGCATATTTACTTTCAAAGGTATGGATACCGTAAATACCTTGAATATAAATAAACGAGAAGAGGCCACTTGGTCCGCTTCACTGTCGGTCATTTGGTAATGAGAAGCTGATCTGAGGTTCTCCTCCAAATGTTTCTTTGAAGACATGCTGGTAGGTTAATTGGCTTCTGGGGAGAGTGGCCCCGGTGAAAGTGTGTGTTTTTGTGTGTGCCATGATGTACTGGTGTCACGTCCAGGGTGTGCCCAGCCTGTGCCTGTTGCTTACTGGGATAGACTCCAGCTCCCCCCTGTGACCCCCTAGTGGATAAAGGGGTTCAGAAAATGGACTGATGGAGGTTTAGGATGTAAATAATTTAGAAATGCTGAACTGGAAATATAACCTTATTTTTTATGAAAACATTCCGAGCTGAAATCTGTTTCAACATTACACCATGATAATATTATAGCCTGCTTCGCTGAATTATTAACTGTGACTATGACATTTAAGTATTAATGTAACTGTAGGGTTTCTGTTTACTGTTGCAGTTTCTGTGTTGGACACTGTGATATTAATATCCAACATAACACAAGTAATAATATAGCGTAATTGATACTGTATGTCTTCTGTAATGTGATTTATACTTTGTGTTATAATTATTAATTAGGAACAAATGTTTTGACTTCCTTTAGAATCTTCTTTTTCAGATTTGATCATGTTCATGATCTGAATATATTTAGAAACACTTGCTCTGGAATCAGACCTTAGACAAATGGGCACATACATTCCCAGACTCAAAGAGCTGTCTTACACTGACAGGCTGAGGCACTGTTACAACTGAACCTCCCTACTCTCAAACAGAGATGACTACGAGAGGCCCCGAAATTCTCATTATTCAAAATGAGAATTTTACATAAGGTTGCAAGCAGGCAGGTAGCCAGGAAAGGATAATGTTGTAGCTTAAAGCTGATATCCTGACTTCATTCAAGAAATGCCTGATTTAGATGCTTTTATTATTTTATGATGTCACCCAAGTGTTTTTCATGTCATAAGCAACAGTGGAACATGACCCTGAGGACACAAGTGAAAATATGTGGATGTGCATAAAACTGAGAACAGGAGGTGTTTTTTTACCCAAAGGGCTGTGGTGACGTGGCACAAGCTACCCAAATTGCTACTGTAGAGAGGATCCTAGGGTCTCTTACCTACTGAAATCCAAATGGGCTAGATGGGTCAGATAGACTCCTTTCATTTCTAAGCTTTCTAGTTTTCTTATATTTCATTATCCTTTCTCACCAAACATTAGGAAATACCTGACCCATACAGTAGTACAGTATGTGCCTCTTGGCTTTGCGGGTTTTCATTTGTAAAACAGTATCTAGTTTGAGTGCAAAGTACACTATCAAGTAATTGCAGTGCAAGTCAATCCCAAAATAACGCAAGCCAGAGCAGCATGCTGGTCTGTCTCATTTTGTGCTGAATGCAAAATAAAACATTTCTATTTATTGGCCACTCAATCATCTTGACTGTCACAATTAAGAAACGTGTTGTACAAGCTCAGCAGCTCCTCCACTGCTCTGCGCTTTTCTTAATGTTTCTTTAATGGAAAAGTCATTCATTGCGATTTAAAATGTTACAAGTAAAGGCTCTGGGCAGGACTTTATTTATTTCATGCCAAAGGGCGGTATGTATTTTGAATCAAGCAACAAGTCAGTGGTCTATCGTAACGTACCAATAATGACGTTGTCTGCTTTTTATTCCCCTCCCAGGTAAAAGTTTATCTATTCATGGGGCTGAAAATTTTTTCCGCAACCACAAGCGAAGAAGCGCGCCTTGCCCTCTCCCTACAGAGCGCGTGTCTGTGGCCAGGCCTTCCTCGCTCCCTCCTCTGAGGACGCCCAAGACCATGGAAGAGTCATCCTCGGGGTCTCCAGAGCCAGCAGTCACGAACGGGAAGACGCCGCACCCAGGTCAGTGCGGCAGGACTGCCTCAGCTCGCTCTGCTCTGCTCTACCAGCAGGATGGGAAATTCCTGCCTTCCTGTGGGGCGCAGCACCTTCTCGAACCTACGTCTCCTGGGGAACTGCTTTGCATTTAAATGTGCTTTTGCATGTCATGGATGATACCCTTCAAACTATACATTTTACAACAGCAAACTCCTTTTTTTATTTGATCACTGAGTCGATAAACCAACCTACTGCTTGTGTGTTCTGCAGTTGTGCTCGCTGTTGACAGTGTTTTCGTCCGTCAGGCCTGTTGCTTTGAACTAAAGACTCCACAGCTTCACATATCTTCACAGTCTTTAATTGATTTCTCTTGTCTCTATGCGTGATGTTTTTAATTAAAGTAGCATGTCTTTCAGTCTCACTGTTGCAATTTCAGTTCCTTTAAATACCTTGAGAAGACTTTTTCTGAAGTAAATGGTTCTACACGGTAGCCTGGTGAAATATAGTGATGTTGTGCTGGGAGTATGGATACACATCACCTTGGAATCAATCAGGAACTGTGTGTTATGGGGAAATTTGTAAGGAGGGTGTTTATAATGAAAGCCTCTATCTCCATAGGAAGGATTAAAGCTCCAACTGTTCTCACTGAAATGTATCCCATCAGCTTTGTTCAGATACAGTAGAATCTGGGAATAAAATAAATTAATCAGAAGCATCGATCTTTAGATTTTTCTGGGTGCTTTATGTGTCCAGTAAGGTGCGAACTCCAGCTACAGTAGTAAAGCTCCGCCTTTGATTGCTTTGCTTCAGTAGAAAGAACAAGCTACTACAAAGGTGTTTATTTTGTCTTGCTATGGACGGCTTGTTTAACAAAGTCAAGGCTGCGGAAATATTAATAACTCAGCAAAGGCACAACAACATTGCTGTAGAAAAGGTGCAGATAAGATAAAGCAGGCGTAACTCTTAGATGCTGCAGATAACATATTTGTAACAAGATAAAGGACATATCAAAGCCATTAATTGATTAGCACGCTTCTGATTGAGATCAAATGATCACAGCTTTGGCTTCACAGGTTCAGTGTAGGTGGCATCACTAGTCAACTGTGACCGATTCCCCAGGCGGCAGAGCCCAGTTGGCTGAATGCACCAGTACTCTCCCCACACACCGGCTCTCAGTGGGGAGGAGAGCAGAGTGATCAAGCCAGCTCAGAGATGGGGATTATTAGGAGGCCATGATTGGTAAGGGCCAATGGGAAATTTGGTCAGTACACTGGGGTTACACCCCTACTCTTCTCGAGAAACACCCTGGAATTTTTAATGACCACAGAGTGTCAGGACCCCAGTTCTACATCACATCCGAAGGACAGCGCCTTTTTACAGTGTAGTGTCCCCGTCACTACACTGGGGCATTAGGACCCACACAGACCGCAGGGTGAGCGCCCCCTGCTGGCCCCACTAACACCTCTTCCAGCAGCAACCTTAGTTTTCCCAGGAGTCTCCCATCCTAGTACTGGCCAGGCTCACACCCGCTGGGCTTCATTAGGCTGGCAGCTGGGAGCTGCAGGGTGATAGGGCTGCTGGCTACCTCAATTGCTGGAGCTGTGGTGCCTGTGAGGTGTAGTAGGACAAGTGATGTGTAGGCAAGCTGATCACAGGATGCACAACTATGAGCCGAGCTGTGAAAAACACAACTGTCTGTTCTCCCTGGGGTGGGATCTAAGAACAGGAAAATAACTGAGGGGTCTAAATTAAATTAAAAGCCACAGCCTCACCTGGTGCTTCTACTATAAAATCTTCCCTGGGTTCTTCTTTACTAACCAAAACTCTGTTTGCTGTCAGCAGAGGAATGTTGTAGGTTTTACTCCTGTAGTGTGTGCTCCATTATCTTCATTTTTTGTGCCGTAAATTAACTGTTGTTTTTTTTATCATGTCACTCTTGCTTGATCTTATCCATTACTCTGTAGTTGGGGTAGGTCCTAATGAGTATAATTAGAGGGATGAAATCGGTAGAGACTGGCCTGTCTGAGGGAATGGATGGCCCAGACCCCCTCACTGCTCTGTTATAGGATCTGTGAGGATGCAGATGAGGAGTCGGTTGGGGGAATGTGGGATGCGGAAAAGGACATCCTGGGTTCTTACCCAGGTATGTGGCTGATGTGTGTGAGACTAGGATCCAACCTATTGTTATTAACTCTGTTTACTGCTATTATCTGAATTGTCTTTTTATTTGCTTTGTCTACAATACATACCACATGGCCACAGTAAAGTAGATTCATTTAGATCTGTTGCCTTTTTATGGTGGCACTCCTGTAGTTGCTTTCAGGTGGTCCCTAAAGATGTGGAGCAGCAGCGTTGTTAGCGCAATGAGAAGACAGCCGCTGGAAGGAGCAGCTGCCAGGAAGCTGCTACTAGATTTGTGTCCACACAGTGAAGGGGTAGCTCTCGTCACAGACTCCAAGCTTTGGTTCCTACTGAAACGCCGTGACTGATTATGGTTCTGTCGTGTCCCAGCTGGCCATGATGGACGACTTAATTTTGTGGCCGGTTGTTAATTGCACAAGCAGCTTATTTGCATGTCTGCTGATCATGTGAGCTGGAGAGAAGGATGGGACTTGCTGGAATAAAGTGGGAAGGAAGTTCATGGGTGAAAAGGGAGTTGTTGTAATTATTATTGTTATTGTTTTGATTGTTGCCAAGTAAATGAGTGGCACTGCTCAACAATGATTACATGTCGAGATACAGGTCTACTGCTGTTTATGAAAACTATATGATAATAAAGCTTTTATCTTTGACACTGTCATTTCATAATGTTATATTAATCATAGTCTTCAAACGTCTTCTAAGAAAGGTGCTAATGTGATGTGTTTCTAGCATTTTTTAACATTCCCTTTAGACCTCTGCAGTGTTACTGTAGTACATGTCAGTGTTATGTACATGTAGGTACTGTAACTTCACAATCTATGGCCAGCATTCCTTCCATCTACTTTCAAACAAACGCGATGAATCACTTTGCAGGCCTTGTTATCCCCAGGGTCCCTGGATACTTGGAAAAGGTTTCCTTCAGAGTGATATGTTGCAGCAGTTTTGTAGGAGTTAATCAGGGCCTTGGATCGTGTCGGTGTTGGCAAAGTGGTTCAATGGGCTCAAAACAGCTGTTTCTAGAAGCGAAACCGTCCTGCTCCCTCTATTTCACAGCCATTAAAGACGTCAACATTCTCTTGGACGAGTCTGAGGGAGTGAACAGCCCATCCAAGGATGACGACTCGCTGCTCCACCCTGGAACCCTAACCAGTACCTCGGAGGAGGCCAGCCGGGGGGAAGGAGCCGCCGAGGTGAGTGCTGCAGGACTCAGCTCCTCGACCAGGCCAACAGCAGCATTTACTGCCCTGAGAGGTCTTCCGGGGAGAAATACAGTCAGCACCCGAACTGTGAGCGCTTCACGAGAGTGATCTCAGACAAGGGAATTGACAAGTTCGTTTATTCCATCCACCCACCTGTTTCCTAGCGTTTTATCCAATGCAGGGTTGCAGGAGTGCCTTTATAGTTAAGGTGATTTTGAGACACTTCTTTACACAAAGGATGGTGGGAGAGTGGAACAAGCTCCTCAGCCATGTTGTTGAAGATGATACTCAACAATCCTGATCCTGGGATCACTTAGCTAGTGACTACGGAATGAGTTAGTAGTGCCAAATGGCGTGGTCTCATTTGTAACTGCACCTGCGTGTTTCTCAGAACCGTGATTTATTTACTAGGTTAAAATCTGGTACTCAAAGAATCATTAAAACTTCATGTGTAGGCTGAGCTATGTATAAAAAAGGATTCAAAATGATTCAGCTGTTGATACAGCACAGAGATATTAGGAGTACCGTCTCTGCCTCAGACTGTCTGATACCCTTATCAGAAAATGAGGTGTGCAAGAAAAAGGGATAAACTGTCCTCAGTTGTTCACCACTTTTTTCTGTGTTTTCTTTCTGCAGGGAGTGAAGGAAAAAAGAAAATCGAGTGGGCTGTTCTTCAGGGATGGGAAATGTCGGATTGATTATATCCTCGTTTACAGAAAGTCCAATCCCCAGACAGAAAAAAGGGAGGTTTTTGAGAGAAACATCCGAGCAGAAGGACTGCAGATGGAAAAAGAGGTAAATGTTTCAAATCCCCTCCACTTGGTTGGAAGACCCTAGAAAAGGGTGGATTTAATGCAATGCAGTTGTAAAACTAATTTGCACGTGCTGACATCCGAAATACAGCTCCATCATCAATCTACTGAATGATTGAAGGTTATACAACAGAGCAGCTCCAGCAGGTGAATGGAAATGGATGTCAAAATGTCTCATAAGGCAATGGCCTTCCAAAAGAAATATTTGCATTTTCTTCATGGGGAAATAAATGCCCAGACAGGACAGGAATGTGTCAAGACTTCTTGCCTTGATCTTTTTTTTTACCTTTTTTTAGAAGTTTTTTTTTTTTAATTTTGGCTTCAGCAAAGAACCTCAGAACAGTAATAAAACAACCAAGAACACTGCAACAGGTTTACCTCTCAATCAATCCCACACCATTTATTCCCATTAATTCTTTCATTTATTCCAGTTACTTCATGCCTTTATCCTGCTGCTCAAAGCACAAAAGCCAGTCAGGATCTGTGGAAGATGTCTGGTTGTGGTAGCATGGATCAGGGATGCTCACACACTGCTGCGTAGATTAAACATCAGGCGTTTTCCCATTTTTTAAAATAAAATGTAACAAATACACAAAGAGAACAAAGCCAACCACTTTCAGCAAAGGAAAATAATATTATAGCAGTGATATTGACCTAAGCCTACTACCATACATTCACCATGCCTTAATAATTTAACCCATGTGGAAATGCACACATTCCAAACAGCTGCCCAGAGCACTGGCTGATTTATTAAGGAAAGCTGCCATTTAACAGTTTGTAGCCATCAGAGAAAAAGGAGCAACACAGGAAGCTCCATGAAAGTGACTTCAAAATCAAGAACAAGAGCCACTGCTTTACCCAAATGGTTGTGGGAGTTCGGAACAAGCTGCCCCAGCCATGGTGCTGAATCAAGTAGCCTGGCTTATTTCAAGAAAGGCTGGATAAGATCTTGGGATCAACTACCTTCTACAGTAACTATATTATGGGCTGAGTGGCCCGCTCTCGTTTGCAGCCTTTCTCATGTTCTGCTGTACGTACTGTACACTCATGTACTCTTACAGGCTGTTGCAATTACACTGCCGACAGCAGTCCCAGTCAAGCCTCAGAAGCAGGTCCTCAGGTCTGTAGCACAGCCCACCATGTGGAATTCCCTTTTATCTTGGCTTAGAGAAGGATCACATGCCACCAAGCTCTTGGCGCACATCACAGATAAGTGGAGCTTAATCTATCATATAGAGGTCTCTCTTCATCCCGTTGGGTACAGTGAAGACACATGGAAAACAATTACAGATGGAAACGTCCGTTTTCGCTATAAAGAATATTATTCTCTAATGTCTCTTCAAGGATTATATTATGAAAGGAGATACTTCTGGATCATCTTTTTGTACCAGCTGCTTTATCTTGTGCTTGCGCAGTGTATATACGTGCACAATATCTAGTGTTTATAGACCAATACCCAGTTATTTATTTTCCATTATTGTGTCCTGAAATTGAAACTTCCAGTCCTGTAAGACTTCCAAGAGAACATAGCAGCTTGTGTGTTGCAAAAACCATCAAAAGAATCATGGGATATTTGGTGTTTCCAAATTATTTATGGTTGTTTGCACTCACAAATATTAACAAAGGACCGAGCGTTGTGCCACAGTAGCAGTGAAGGCAGCAGTGTGGGGGGGGTGGTTAGGACCCATGTCCTCTTAACCTTGAGGCTGTGGGCTCCAATCCTGGGTGACCAATCTTGTACCCTTGAGCAAGGTATTTCACTCAGACTGCTTCGGTAAAATCCCCTAATGTGTAAGTGATTTACACATTTAAGTCACTTTGTATAATAGCGTGAGCCAAATATCAATGAGAATAATAGAAGAGGATGAAGGATAAGTCATCCTACATAACCACAGAACCTCGGTGTCTTGATTTGCTGAGTAAATCAAATTAGAATGCAATGCAGGAAAACAGTGGTTGGCTCTGTGACATACTGTATTACCTTGGTAATATACATTAAACCTCACAAATACAGTCAAACACAAATTACATTAGAATAGAGGCAGCTGTTACATTGCTTTTATATATCTGTACCTGCAGCATCCTGTGCAGAGTACCGGTTTTCTGTACAATAAGCACAATTCTAAAATTGTCACCCAATTGCAGAGCTGAATCGTGCTGTAATGGTGGGGTAGACTGTACAGTATGTGCAGTGCTGCACAGACTCAGACACAAGAAAGGGATAATGACACATGCATGTGCTCCACTATCTCTCCTTGCTGATCTTTATTTTTTAATCTATGAAAACAAGAAAACTGTTCATTCTGCTTGGTTGCTTTCTGTTCATTCATGGCGGTATCTCATCCACTGTTTCTCTGAAGAACTTCAGAAGGGCTTTGAGCTTTACAGTGCAACAACAAAGCTGGGTGGCATCTTCCAGACTCCTGGATATTCCCTTTGAATGCTGAATGTTTAAATAACCTTCTCTGTAGTTGTGAGGTGTCCTCAGGTACAGGTCTCACTATTCATTTTTGTTAAGTATATATTATATACAGTTCCTGTATTGTTGTGCATTTCCAATCAGTTGTATGGGAGTTTACTGACAGGAAGTGACTTGAAAATAAGGCATTTTCTAGCATAACACTGTGTTATGCCCCATTAGGAATATTGTTTCTTTAGCAAAGTGGACATATTTAATTTTTTTATACATTTTTAAACCTTTGACATTATATGGTGTAATTCCGAACTTTCATAATAATAATAATCATGGAGTAAAGGAGCATTGAGGTCTCATGGATAAATAATACTTGGTATTTATTAATAATGGTGTTTTATTTTTTTCTAACTTTAATACTAATAAAACTGGATGGTATTGAATTTTCCCGTGGCAGGTGGCCTGGCCTTTTGGCGTAGTGCAATTCACCACTGAGCCCTTGTACAATTGCCGGCAGATGATCTTGATATTATGCCAAAATACATCGTTGTCATATTGTAAAATTGTGAAAATGTATGCACATTTTATTTACTGTACTACAATTTGGGCAATGAAAAAGAATGTTATCTTGTGGCAAAAACACATAAAAATATCATAGTCTCAGTAAAGATTCTGTAATGAAAGATAAAATACAAACAGAACATGTCTAAATCGCTTTAACTTCCAGAGACCATCTAACCAGTATGGTTAACAGTTCTCTTCATTGCAAAGGAACACGTAAAGGTTAATTCCGCGCTGAAAAGTAGACAAAAAGAAACACAGTATTTTGGCTGTTGGGCCTTCCTCAGGTATGACTACTTTTCTTTCTATTTTTAAGCATGGAATTAACCTGTACTTGTTCCTTTGCAGTCAATACATGCTGATAGAGCCCCTCACTATAAATTGTTAATTGTTGTTTATAGTTGTACTGTACAGTACATCACTGTTTGAATTTAATTAATTCATTATTAACGTATGGATGAGAGGTCCAGAAGAAGGTGGTAAATTGGTAAAAACTGTAGGTTTGTAATCAATAAAATGTGTGTTTGGCATTCTGTAAAACCCTTTTTCTCTTATAGGCTAAAACAAAATTGAAAAAAAAAAGCTTGCCAGTCTTTATCCTTTGGATGAACTAGTGAATGACAAATGCATCTACTGCCTGCCAGGCTATAACAGCATATGAAAAAAATTCATCCACTGAGATTGTTTCACTGAAGATTTATGCCTTTATCTAACCTGACCTATACAGAGCACAATAAAGAACAAGCAATGGAGGAGTTATCTTATTTTGGTACAGAATTTAGCAATCTCTGTTGTCAGTTTTGGCAAATAATAATGAGCAACGGCTTGCATTTCTGTAGTTCTTATCGTCCTAAAGCATCCTAAGGTGTTTTATATGTAAAAGGAGAGCCACTTCAATACCACTGAGATGCAGGAGGTATCCTACACCAGCAGCCCCACTACCCTGCAGATCAGGTGCTGAACTGAGAAAGCACTAAAAAGGGGCAGGTTAGGGAGGTCAGACTGTGTGAAATTGAGCCACTAGAGTTAGGGGCACAACTCTCACAAGAACAGCCATGGATTTTCAGTTTTGAATCTCTTGGATTTTAAATCCAAGTAATCAGGAGCACATTTCAGTAGTAGTACCTGTATTTATTTATTTTAAATTAATGTTTAAACTTCATCTCAAATGAAGGACTCAGTCGTAGGTCCTACAGACCCTCTCCAGTATGAAGTAGTTCACACCTGAAGGCACCACAGCCAAAAAGGTGTTTCTTTTCTTTTCTTTTCTTTTCAGCATGGAACAAACCTTCACTTGTTCCCCTCTACTGTGAACACTCCCATCGCAATGATCGTCTGATGTTGCTTGTTTTGTGTTGCTTCTTTTATGTATTATGTTTTGCTAGTGAAGCAGGAAGAGACCAAGATTTTGAAACATCTGACTTATCGTTAGTTTTTGTTAAAGAATGGTGACCACAAAAGCAAGACCTGTCAAAGCACCCCAGAAAACAGAAAGTCCTTAGTTTTGAATTTAATTCTACAGTTCAAGATGCTGTTTTGACTAAACTGGGATTTTTGTTTAATCCGTGAGACTCTTTGAGGTAAATCGGATCTTTACGTGGATAATCCATATGTTATCTTCATTTTAGTCTCCAGAGGTATCCAATTGTTTGTATTTTCTATAAGATTAAAATGAAGGAAAATATTGTTACAAATGAGGGGTTAGGAAAATGATGAAGTTCAGGAATTGACAGAGCAGTTTAGTCAATATATAAAATATTTTTTTTATTACCCCCAAAGTTATACCCCCAATCAGAGGCACGTGAATTCTTTATTCTCTGGCACGGATTTGATGAGAGGAGTAAGAATAAAAGACACACTTGGTTAAACAAATGTTTAACAATGACAAGACGAACACTACGCTACACACAAAAAAAACATACAACACACAAGTTAATATATTTACAGGATTTACAGACAAGGCGTTTCAGATGCCAAACATCCAAATCACCCAGAGAAAACCTCAGACTGCTACAAAATATTGAACTCTTAAATAATACCCACAGAGGCCATAATACAAGATAAGCCGATTTCTAAATAAATGTTAAATGATTAAATCTCTCTCTCTGCAAACCTGGATGCCAAAACATAAATGGGAGCCTATATCCCTATTCTAAAACTGCACCCACAAGCAGGAAAGCCATTTCTCACTGACGCATCTTTTACCCAGGAAATCCAAGTTCCCTAAAACACAGAATGGCAAGCTCTCTCTATCAAGGTTCAAGTACTGAGCTCCAGTCAGGTTTGTCTGGCTGATCGTGAAGGAGGGGCACTTGCCTGGTGCAAGCTTCAGGTCCCAACTCCTCCAGACTCCTCTCTCTTCTCTTCTCTCTCCCTTTTTCTTCTCTTCTTCTGTGGTCTTAAAATTATCTTATATTGTGTGTTTCTGGAGTGTTCATTGACAATCAACCCACAACTTAGTTACTGTACCTTAATTATATGCCAGCAGCCATATCACACTGCAACTCACCGCTGACAGTCCACTGGAGCCCAGCAGGTGTGAGCCTGGTCAGTACTTGGATGGGAGAAATCCTTGGAAAAAACTAAGCTTGCTGCTGGAATAGGTGTTGGTTGGGCCAGCAGGGGGCGCTCACCCTGCGGTCTATGTGGGTCCTAATGCCCCAGTATAGTGACAGTGACACTTTACTGTAAATAGGCGCTACCTTTGGATGAGACTGTGGTCATTAAAAATCCCTGGGCATTTCATGAAAAGAATAGGGGCGTTACCCCGGCATCCTGGCCAAATTTCCCATTGGCCTTTACCAATCATGGCCTCCTTATAATCCCCATCTCTGAACTGGCTTCATTATTCTGCTCTCCTGCCCATTAATAGCTGATGTGTGGTGAGCGTTCTGGCACACTATGGCTGCCGTCGCATCATCCAGGTTGGGCTGGATCCCCATGACCTGTAAAGAGCTTTGAGTGGTGTGTCCAGAAAAGCGCTGTATAAGTGTTAGCAATTATTATTACCTAGGCATATTGAAGTAAACTTTACAATTGTTTTTGCTCAAGGGACTCCCCACATCTCAGCAAACATCCTCTCTGCTTTGAAGCTGGAGTGTTTACTCTGCCAGGTGTCACACACTTTATTTAAACCTTAATAGAAGCTTCCTAGTCACCTCTAGCTGTAACAATATTTATTGAGTTTTTCATTTAGTTCAGAATGCTGAAAGAGCTGTAGCTGTAACTATCCATGGTGCTGAAAAACAAACACATGTACTTGGGCATTGTCATAAGCTTACCTGAGGTTACTCAACGTGCAGTTTAAATCAGAGATCCACGGAGAGCACTACGGCCAAACTCTCCAGTGAAAGCACTCTGTAATTTTCCACAAATACAGGCTCTATTGCCATACAGTACTGAAGAAGTCTGGTGTGTGTGGTGAGGGAACTCGTCTTTTTCCACTGGAAATGAGCTTCTGTCACTATAGCAGTATTAAATTAGCCCATCTCTCAGGAACCGTTCACATTGAAATAATTTGCCCTTGTCTTTGCTTGACCCTATTTAATTCTGAGTCCCAACTCTGGAATCTGAACAAAATCAAACACATAAGTCACATGGCTGTCAGGGGCAGGCTAGCTGATGTGAAAAGGTCTCAGTAATATACTGTACTGTGATTGGTGCAGAATTAGGAGGATCATTTCTAGCTTTAAAGAATTCTGGGAAGCTGTGTCTTGATGTTCCCTTGATTGATGTTTGTGTAGGCAACATTCTGACCTTGAAAAGGTCTATGATAAGGGAGTAAATAAGGGAGTAAATAAAGAAGATTTAAAGGAGGCAGTGCTGTAAGAAAATAAGAACTGGAAATATGTAGCCCTAAATATCAGGTCCTGCTGTCCAACACATTGAAAATGTAATATTAATATTAGTAACATTATTAATTGCTTTCCTCATCTGTTACAAGCCAGCAGCTGTATCACCTTGCAACTCCCAGAAAGCTCAGCAGGTGTGAGCCTGGCCAGTACCTGGATGGGAGACTCCTGGGAAAAACTAAGGTTGCAGCTGGAAGAGGTGTCAGTGGGGCCAGTAGGGGGCACTCACCCTGCGGTCTGTGTGGGTCCTAATGCCCCAGAGTAGTGACGCGGACACTATACTGTAAACAGGCGCCGTCCTTCGGATGAGATGTAAAGCCCGAGGTCCTGACTCTCCATTATCATTAAACATCCCAGGGCATTTCTCAAAGAGGGTAGGGGTGTTACCCTGGCGTCCTGGCCAAATTTCCTCCTGGCCTTTACCAATCATGGCCTCCTAATAATCCCCATCTCTGAACTGGCTTCATCACTCTGCTCTCCTCCCCACT